GAGCAGCTCGCGGCTCACGCGTTTGTCCCCTCTTGCGAGGATTTCGGCCTCGATACACTTTAAAACTTGGCCGGGTCCCGTCGAGTGAGCTGCAACCTGGTATTTAGTGTCTTTCGTCCTCACCGTTGCTGCATGCTCGGCCATTTACGTTCGGGGTAATCTTCCGGTTTCTCCGACTTAGTTGCTTTGTCCACAACTACACCAGATCCGGTAAACGACTCCAACCATTTCCTGCCATCGCAGTGGGTCTTTCGGTCTCATGACCCGGCGCCTGATTGTTGCTTCTGGCTTGAGCGCAACTCCAATTCCAACTGGGACAAGCAGGCGGCTGACTTCTTCCGATATATTCTTCACGTATGGAGGAATTCGCCAAACTTTTGGGTCAACTAGATGTGGTTTATTGTCTCGTCTGCGTATGCACTGGTTGGCAAAATCTCGCGAGTAAACATTTGCTCTCAGTACTCGTCGAAGATATTGTAATTCAGCAACTTTGTCTTCCACTTCGCTGCAGTGCGTCTCAATGCGCCAGCATAGCCCTCTTAGACAGCTGCGTTTGTAACTGATCGGGTGATTATTCTTGAAGTTCAGGACTTGCATAATTTTAGTCGCTTTCCTGAATACTTTAGTTTTTAGGCCACCACCGCCTTTGTGGCATACGAGGACATCTAGGAAGGCTAGTTGGTTGTTTCCTCCTTCCTCCATCTTGAATTGAATAGCCGAGAAGTCAGTGTTTAGACGTTACTTGAAAGTCAGCTCCTGATCCCGTTCAATTACGATGAAGGTGTCGTCGACAGCCTCCGAAACGTCAGGAAAATAAAAATTCTTATTCCAGTGATCGCATCTTCTTCTCCTGAACCGCTTCCTGGAACTTGCATATTCGCTTCTATCGGCAATAGGGTCATTTTCTGACAGTAGGGCAAAATAATGTTTAATGTTTTATCAGTAATTTGAAGGATATAACCTTCACACAGAGACCTCAAACGAGGCTCTATTGATGTGTCTCTGCTAAGAATGTTTAAAGATCGGATTCCCCTATAACATGTGTTTTTTGAATGAATCCTCCAAAATAGGCATGGCTCCTAGGGATTGGGACCACTAAATTCATCACCAAGTGTTTTTCCAAAGCAGTAATTTTGCTAGCACCAGTACACAAAAAGGTATTGTCAAGCATTTCTTCCTTTTAGCTGGGGGTAATGTTAAGGAGTGGAGAAATTGCTTTCTTCTATTATTTGTGCAATTGTCGCATTCAACCACCACAGCACGAGAAACTTCAATATAGACTTTTCGTCTTCCTTTTCTAACACTGTCAATATAACCAAAATGCATCTACTTACTTTCTATTGAATGATGCTTATTTCAATATTAAAAACGTTTTCCACTTGAAGTGGGCTCTAACGGTATGAGCTAGTGTCGAACTTAGCAATTTCTAGAGGGCCAGGCTGTCTAACTGTCGATCTAGCTTTACATTAAATAGGATAGGCATAATTATACCAATGGAAGCAATTAGACGCAAGGTTTTCAAGCATTCTCACAGCATTTATTCGTTAGGATAATTTAATTGTGCGTTTGTTGGTTTACCCAATACATTTCTGGGACAGCTAAGTCCCTTATCCAAAGCGGTAATTGGCAACAGTAGCTTATGTAGCCCCACTCATTAATCCGTACAACCTGCATGTTTTCCCACGAAAACGGTGGCTATCGGGTTGTATGG